TACACACACACTCAAAATTTGTGTACTTGAAATACTATGGAAATAAAACTAAAGAAAATGAATTTTTGATTATTGTACTTACAGTGTGCTGCTGTAATGAGACTGATGCTGTTGCACAGTTTTGTTCATTTCTTTGAAGTTCATTTCACAGCTGGCCATCTGTAGTTTCATGCATATGTTTAGTTTTTCTACTGTTAGTATTGAGCACAGGTTGTTGCTGATGTATGGAAATGTCTATTTACTTATATAGGTAGAGTTAAACATTAATATAGGAAGACTGACAGAGTTGAAGAACGAAGTTATGTGTGTTCTCCAATTTCTTCAAATCAATCCATTTCTACAGTTTTGCTTGTTCTGCATGTTGGTGCACAAAGCTTTTCAGATTTGTATTTAGTGTGCCAAACTTTTCAAACCAGATGCCTGACTCCTTAAACAACATTAATAGATCAGAAGCAAATGCCACAAACTGTCACAGTTCCAAATTGTTGTCAACTTCGACTTTCGTGCATGAATCTCAAACTTGTGTTTATAATATCGAAAGAATGAATCAGTCTGCCATTCTCTCTCTCTGATGAACAGATTCAGTTTGTATTCCTTTGTCAAAAACTGCCTAACAGTTTACTTTACCCTTTTTATTTTTTTTTAATGTTGTTGCTGTTGAGGTAACTCGTTGCAGACCCTTTTGATGCCTCTTGTTTTTTGGATATTTTGCTGCATGTTTTGTCACGAGATGTTTTTTAAGCAAGTCATTCTTTCCATATAAAACAAAATAGAAATCCACAAAACCATACATTTAAGTCCATTCTGGCTGAAACATTTGTTAATCAGGATCTTTTTTTTTTACATTTTTAAAACAAAATCTAAAACTACACTGTATTTTGAAACTTTAAAAACACTGTACAGCTGTGGTTACAGATTATGGCTTGCGTAAGTGTGCATACTGCATGTTGGCAGGTTCTTCAACCAATCAAAACATCGTAAAACAATATTCCAGAAATACAAACATAGTAAGAGAATAGGGTAGGTGGATTATTCTAAAAAACAAATAGCAAGGTAGGAAGATAGAAGTAGGTCAGTGGTACATTGTCAAGATACTGTTAGTTACTTAGTGTATTGTTGTTTGAGGGGGTTCTGTGTGTGTGAATAACCAAGGAGCCAGATATGGCTCTCGAACCTTAGGTTGCCAAACCTATTTTAAGTTTTTGATATACATTGATAAGAATCTTCTGGAAAAGTAGAGTTTGTGTTTCAGAAACATCATTGTTAAGATAAAAAAGTTTACTTTTTGTATAATTTTAGTGCCTCTACAATATTAATTTCTGGTTTTTAAAATAATAAATCAGGAATTAAAGTTTTGAATTTTTACAGTGTTCACTATTTTTCTAAATCATTTTGAGGTACGTTTAGAAAAACAGCTATATTTTTAGATCTTCAACTGATTAAAATTTATCACTTATATTGTTTTTGTCACTGTTCAATACATATTGGTTGTCATTTTCTTGGTGAAAGTAATGCTGTCAAATTATTAACAAAAAAAAAGTTTTTATATGATTGTAATGAAGGTTAAACTTAATTTATTTGATTATCTCCAAATGTTTATATTTAGTATGAGAAAGGTTCTTTGAACTTGGTAAAAATTATGTTTATGAAAATCTGTTAAATCTTCTAATTTTATGAATAAATACTTACTATTATAAATTTATGCACTAATAAAAAAAATGTTTAAAATATTAATCTAGATGTGCTGGATACAACTGCAGTTTTTTGAACAGACTTGTGTTACAATATGTACTTATTATAATTCTTTAATAATAATTTGAATCATTCATTGAGTGGAAATTGTAAGAAAAACTAGCTTCTTTAAAAGTGTGTGCGTGTGTGTGCCTTGTTGTTTTGTTACTTTTCGTAAATAAGTTGATTTTTTAAGAAGCATTTCTGACATATACATATTTCTCGAGACATGCATTTCACGTTAAGAATTTTTTTATCATATAAAAACATATTTTAATGAGAACTATAACTACTATAAAAATATTTGTTTATGTGAATTTTAAATCAATTGCAGTTATTTAAGTGTTACAACTTTTACTTTTGTTGGAATTGTTAGCTTTTGGTTTTCTCTTATAGTCTCAAGATGATTCATTCCTCTTAACAATGGTCAGTTTTTCTGTTTGTATATTATACACGTGTTCAATATAATTTGTTTCAGATTTTGAAATTTATATATTTTCTTGTTCTGAATTTATGAGCATTTCAGAAGAGAGATCCTTTGAAGTATGTGTACTTATGAAGTATTTTTAATCAATAGTAAGAATTTAAAATAAAGCTTATTTACCAAGGTATTTAGTGTTATTGTCTGATTTATCATGTTCTAGAGCAGAATTTATTAATATTATAGTTTTGTCTGATTTATATCGTCTACATAATTACCTACTACTTACCTATTGCATTTAATTAAATAGTTTAAAAATATTTTTTATATAAATATACAAAGTTTCCAATTTGTATAGCAAAGATAAAAAATCTGAATATATTACTATTAAAGACGTGTGCCTTTTTTTTTTAGTTCATGTTTTAATCTTAAGAACTCTCTCTCTCCTGTGATGTTTGTTTAAATGTCAAAAACTGTCTACCAGATCATATTTTATTAGATATATCATTGTCTACAATACATTTGTCAGCACGGAAAAGTTATTTGCAAAACTACTAGAACTACATATACTGTCCCCCATTGGGTCAGTGAAAAGTGTACGGACCTACAACGCTAAAATGTGGCGTTCGATTCCCTGCTGTGAACAAATTACACGTGCTTCATCAGAACGTGACGAGAAAGAGCGTATAGTAAATACTTTTAGGAGTAAATACATAAGTATATTAAAACTTTAGTTTTCAATTTTAGCTTTAAGTATAATCTGACCACAAATGAAATATATAATTCAGTGATATTTTAACTCTGTATCCCCATACGGTTTCAGATTTGATTGTACTGAAACCGAGTTGTTCAACAGAACAATCTGAAAAGACGTTGATATTCAGATATTGAGGCAGATTCGCACGCAATCCGAGTTATCTTTCAATAACACCTTAACTACCAACTTCCAACACATACAAATACTATCTGTGTTAGGCTTAATAATACTGAACTACATTTAGAAAACCGTTGTACTTACTCATTCCTCAAATGTTATATGCATAGTTAAACAAATAATTAACTGTTGATAATCAGATATTGAGGCAGATTCGCACGCAATCCGAGTTATCCTTTCAATAACACCTTAACTACCAACTTCCAACACATACAAATACTATCTGTGTTAGGCTTAATAATGCTGAATTACATTTACTCATTCCTCTAATGTTATATGCATAGTTAAACAAATAATTAACTGTTACCTTTAATGTGTGAAATTATGGTATTTTGATTGAACTAATTTCTGGGCACCATATTGTTGTAACGTGTTGTATCGTTGGGCAAATTGTTTTGGGTTATTTGGTATAATAATGCCAAGTGCAGCCCATGTAACGATCAAGAATTTATTTATTTCTTTATCAAGTGAATAACTTGTTACAGTCTACATTCACTCGTAGTACTAACTTCAAATAACGTTTAACTTTAACAGAGCTTCCCGAAAACTAATGTACACCTACCTCACAAATATAAACCTTAATTGTAGGATTTCAATCACAGACGTAATCATCGTCTAACTCTTTTAGTTGTACTTCATTTACAGACACAACAATTCTCACTGTCTAACTGGCACTGAACTAAATCAATAGGTCATTACTCATAAATCATATGGCCTGGTGGTTGGGGCGCTAAGTCGTAAGTTCGAACCCTCGTCCTTTCAGCCGTTTGGATGTTAAAAGTTATGGTCAATCCCACTAGAAGATATTTCAAGATCATTCCGACGTATCTTTGGTTAAAGAATAGCCCAAGAGTTGGATGTGGGTGGTGTTGGTTAGCTGTCCTCCCTTCGGTCTATCACCGCTAAATTAGAGCCGACTTGCGCAGATATCGCAGGAGTAGGCTTTGCGCGAAATTTTGTAATTAATGAATATCTTGTTTTTTGAAATAACTGTTTCATTAGTTATCTCCCACTGGATATTAACATTATAGATATATAATTTGGTCTGGTTTGTTTGACATAATTATCAATAATAAACTATCTATCGTTACAACATTTCAGTGAAACGTTGTGCTAATAGGTATTATAGTCGGTGTGTCCGATATTAAGTAAGTTTTACATAACAGAGTATTACGAATTTTCTTTACTTTTAAATCCGACTGTTTATATATTTGAACCAAATCATTTAGGCAATTTTATTAAGTAATTCCAGTTTATTAACACGAGTTGAGAACACTGGAAAAACCACCCCACAATTTAAGTTTTTTTAAATCGCTGACGAACGTTGAAAAATATTTCAAGATATCCTGAAACCCAGAGTTCTCCAAACGTCTAGAGGATCACGTCTGTGAAAGAAATGTGATAATTTCAAGGCCACCATGTAGAAAAATTCAACGTATCATGGATTCGCTTTTCCCCACGTCCGGTACACATGAAGCAATAACCAAAAAAATTTAGCCATTAAACTTACTTGAGAGACAGCTTTCTTCTGCCACACCCTTCACCAAGGAGTTGCTTTTAAGTCGTCCTTCTCCTTGGTATCCTTTGAACGTCACCTCTCGCTTTGTGTCACAAAATCTTGGTACCAGGCTACATCAGAGTATATATTCATTAGACTGTTGTCATATACTGGCAATTCGGCATTGGTCTGTTTTGAATTTGACGATATTTCGGACTACTCATAAAAGTTTTCCATCGCTCAGAAAGCGATTATCACTTTCCTCAACATCAGTTACTTACTGCTGAACAGAGAAAAAACAAGTTTTCTCGCTATTTCTCGTCGAACTGCCTCCAGCGATGCATTGAACACCGTTTCACACCACAAAACCGTTATCCAAGAGAGTTTCTAAACATAAGTTCAGTATTTCTTCTCATTAGTTAGATTTCTTTAACCATCTTTGAGAACAAAGAATTTTTTGACGACTCTGCTGTACTGTGATGATGTGTAACCTCCCAATCGTCAAATTATTAGCAGGTATGTCATCTTTTATTTATTTTTAAACGAAATCTTAAAGAAACACAACAACTATCTTACTAAAATGTCACAGAGAGAAACTAGCGTATTTACCTAATACCGTAACACTCCAGGTAATCATACAAAAATAGCCTAGACATAATGAAATTGAGCAAAAGACCCGCCACAAATCTGAACGCACTGAATTACAGAAAACTACACACGAAGAGTAAAATATGTTAAAACTAAATCATGAACTAGAATTCACACAATAAAAAAGAGCTCTAAGAACGTCTCATAGAAATATATTATTTCGTCAAAATAAAAAATATCATTTATACTACAACAACAATCACCAAGTTTGAGGATTAGGAAATAACCACGTGGATTTTTCGTACGTGACTAATTTGATATTAGAAAAATCGCCACAAAAATAATTTTCGTTCAGAAATTCCCCTCTCAAAATAAATAAAAAACTCATGTATTATCAACAGATTGAAATAACAATAAAATAGTACTCCTATATTTGTTCGGATAATAAATTGTCTTCTCTAAAACTTTACATATGTGACGAAACGAGCAACGACGCCCTCTCCCATCCCGAAAGATAACTACAGCCCACTTTACAGTTATGAACGCATACTTCCATAAAACTCATTTCAACTAGACGAAAAGTATAAATTAGTACTTCAGCGTTTATATTATGTACTCACTAACCGTAGTGTTTTAAAGGAGCACTCACGTCAAGTGATTAAAAGTGTTTATAAAATAAAATGCTCTTAAGCCGAGCTAGTAATTGTAACATACCACAACAGAGAGGCTTAACTACGAAAGTTAATTTCAGGTCCAGCGATTTCGTATAGATTCTTATATACCCGAAGATATTTGCTATTTATTCTCGACATTAATTAATAAGATCCAAATACAATACACACTGTAATATTTTTTATTTATACTTTCGCTAATTTTGTCTGTCCGTTTCAGAATTTTCGCGTAAAAATACATAAGGGAATATAGATTTGTAGCAAATCTACTAGCCATCGTCTCTAATTTAGAACTACTGATCAGAGGGGGAAGACAGCCAGTCAGAAGTTCCATCCACGATAAGGGATTGACTGTCACTTTTTAAACGCACCTACAACTTAAATTGGGAGAGGAGGAAATACTTAGTGGTATCATACGGATTCGAAATAGGCCCGCCAGCTCTGAAATCCAGAGTTTTACCACAGGGCCAACCTGTGCTTCAGAGATATCTGCAATGAAGTAATCTTGTTAAGGACTGTTTGTTTGTTTGTTTCAGAATTTCAGGTAAAGCTACATAAATGCTATCTATGCACAATGGTCCCTAATTTTGAACAGTTATATTATAGGGAAGTGGTTAATCAACAACACCCATCGCCAGCTGTTGGGCTATCATTGTCGGGCCATATAATGGTGAGATTTGATCGTCATCCACGACCACTAAAAACAAAGGTCGGTTGTTTTGGGGCAACGGGACGCGAACCATGAACCTTCTAATTCACGGCCTGGCCACGCCCATCTCACATTCACTGATACATTTGCAAGAAATTTGTGAAAGTAATCAAGTGGACGTTTAGCCCACAAGCACAATCTCGCTCATGATTGAGCAATAAAACATTTTTCAATCCATCGCCCTCCGATCATTCTATATTACTTGACCCAAGGAACGGTCAGTGATCCCAAAAGAAGGCATGAAGCTACAAGAAAACTGCACAAAACGTTTTCCATGACGTCACCAATAGTTTTCTAAGACTTTCTGCTTCTTTATTAACACTCTAAGCAACATTACTTGTTGTTTTCTTAGTCCAAAGCTACACAATAGGCTATTTGCACTCTGCCTATCGAGGGAAATTGAACCCAGGATTTTTGCGTTGTCAGTCCATAAAATTATCGCCTACTCACCGAGACATAACAGTACATCGTCTGTTGTTAGCAAGAACAACTAGTTTGTAATGTAAAAAAAAAATAATAAAAAAAAAATAACAGAATTACAGAAAAATTGTAATCCACTTTAATTTATTGGTATCCCATAATTCAAGAAAAATTTTAATAACAGCCTGATGTTTAGAATATTATAGTGGTTATCAGTGACCGCAATAAATTACAAATAATATTATTTACAAAATTATACTACGATTAACCCCAAGTCACACCTTATGTTTAAAAAAAAGAACATTTACGAGGAAATTATAATAAGTATAGTTTTAAACAAAACAAAATATACAACATAAAAAATACAATTACGTTGTCATAAGCACCGATCATATCGTCGTACATAAAGAAAGGCAACAATATGTTTTTGTTTGTTTAAATTGCAAGAGTTGCACAATGAACTAATTATATCTTCGCAGTGACTACTGCAGAAATCGAACCACGAACTTAAGTATAATAAGATTTCAGGCTGAGAAACTCGGGGAGAGGCCTAAAAATAAGTACATATAGACCAAAAAAGAAGACCCGAACTTAGAAACATTTAAATTGTAGACGCTTTTCTACTTCAAATATTTTAATCAACTAAGAATTTTGACAATACACCAGTTTAAAACAATAAAGACCTAGCTCCGTCAGGTTTCAGCATTTAAAACCGTAAGGACAATACTCTTGTTTAAAAAATATGATGTGATATGTGCAAGTACACAGCGTGGTCACAAGTAAATAGACACCA